GATGTATTTTTATTTTAGTACCTTGTGATGTTGTATTTTTATTTCAGCACTAGTTATTGAAATGTTTTTCTTTAAACCGTGATCTATCATTTACTTGTGTCATTTCAATATGTATTCGTAATGTTGTTCTTATTTAATGCTAGTATTTTCTTTTATTGTTAAATAAGTGCACCATAAATAATATGCATATTTACACTATTATTGTGAATTATATAAAATTAAATGATAGATATAATATTTATTATTTTAAATATTATACTATCTAATTATTATGAAATTAATTTTCATATTATTTTACATTATTATTATTATTTTAAATAAATATATAAGTAATATTCATTAATTTAATTATCATATAATATAAATAAAATAAAGGGACTAAATATAAAGTAAATAAATATATTTTACCATTATTAATATAAATAGTTATAGTATTTTGTAAATATAAAGCCCTAAATTTAATACATAGCCAATTGTACATTTGAAAAAAAAAGTGAGGACTGATTTGTGATTTTCTAAAAATTTTGCGATGTCCTGAAGTGCAAACGCATATTTGCGTCAATAGGAGAGAGAAAAGAGAGGATTAAACGCATTTTGCGTTTGAGTTTGGGAATCGGCTGGAGCAAATTTCTTCCCTATTTTGCGTTTTCCAGTTCGGTTGGAGGCGGTCTTATGTGTATCATTAACAGTACTAGCAACGCATATAATAAAAAGGACAAATTTAATTCCTCTCAGTTATATCTCTCATTCCTCTCTCTCTCTCTCTGTAAAAAAAGGGGCTCTGTTCACAGCACAGTATTACTGTACTCTGCCTGCAACGCGGACAGAGAATTAAGGGCGCGTTTGGCACTAAACATGGTTTTGAGCTCAACAAAATGCAAATGTGCATCTCTCTTCGTGCTCCTCTTGGGTACCTTTGCTTTTGCTGCTCCAGTTGACGACGGTATTTTTTCTCTCTCTCTCTCTCTCTCTCTCTCTCTCTCTCTCTCTCTCTCTCTCTCTCTCTCTCTCTCTACTTTCTGTTTTTGTACTTGTCTTTGTTGTTTGGTGTTAAAACCTTAACATGTCCGAGATCTGAGAATTTCTGCAGTCAGCTTGCCGATTGTCCGACAATTTATTTTTTGTTTTGTTTTTTTAGGTTTTCGTTAATTTAAGATGGTGAAAAGATTTGAGTTAGATGTGTGTGATTAGAATGTTTTGAGTTTTGGCCATGGATTGAGGGATTTTTCTGGGCTTTAGTTAGAGTTGTGAAATTTTGCTCTTGGAGTGGTAAATACTAAATACTAATGGTGGAAAATTTTTGGGGGAATGTGTGATAATTGTTGTGCATTTGATTGTCCGCCATTGGCCGCACTTCGCATTGAATGTGCAAGCTACACACATGTGGTGTGATCATTCTAAGCAATTACTCGTATCGGCCTAGTTTGAGGCTTTAACGAGCCGAGCTCGAGTTCGATAAAATTATTTTTATATAATTTTCTATAGTTCGACTTGTTAAAGTTCAAACTCGCCTCGTTAGTAGTGATAAAAGAGTCGAGCTCGAGGTCGAGCTCGATTTTTTGTTTTTATATTTAACGAGCCGAGTCGACTAAATGCAGTCACTTTTAATTTTTGGTTTTTTGTCGCATTTCACAAAAAATTATTGCTTTTTAAAAGGGGTTCCAAAAAGGGGTACACTTGCAAGTTTTTCTATGTTTATGTTATTTTATGACAAATTGAACAACAATAGTGCAAGTTGTAACTAAGCTCATGAATGAACCCCTTTTGTTCACACTTTACACCCTTTCAATTTTAGTTGTTATGTATGTAAAAGATTTCACAAAATGCCCTTATTAAGCAAGAAGAGTATGACGCGGAGCATAATGGGCCGGATACTATGGTGGGCCCTTGCTTCTTATATTTAACACCATGATAAGATTTGATTTAGAGCAACTTTTTATGTTAGTGGGCCGCTGGACTCCACCAATATTCGAACTTCGAAGCACCGACATAAGTCCACTTGGTTTTACACTTTCAACTAGTACTCATATACGACATGAGTGTTGAGTTAATGAATATATATGTAATATCAAACCTAATTTCAGAGTAAAAATAATATAAAAACAACATTATGAAGTATAGATTTTTGCCATGTCAACATTCGAAGCGTGAAAATCTGCCACCTAGACTGATTGATATTTTTTTCCCTAAATTTCACTAGTAATATACGGGAACTTGTCTTAAAGAGTTTTAAAGTTGAGATGGGACATGTTCCCTTGTTTTACTATTGTGGTCTAAGTTCTTGGTATTTGATTTTTTACATTCTTTTCATTTAATTTTGTCTTTTAATTTAATCTAATTCATCTTTATCCATTTGTTCGTTTTTTCATAATTAAATTTGGATCCAAGTCCAACTTTTTCACAAGTTATACAGCACAGCCCATGTGAAGAAATCATGAAATGGGCCCATGTTGATGATCTTGTGGGCCTCTCTCCGATTTTGTGTACCTAGTTCAATATCATTTTGATTGGATCCGTATGATTTAGTTTAAATGTCAGCCCAAATTCTATTCGTGTTCAACGTGTGAGTGAAATTCATGAAAGGGGCTCTCATTGGCTCATATATTTTGGATTAATTATAGTTCAAAGCTAAAATTAAAATTACATGTACATGCACTAGACTAGCCAAATTATGACTTTGGAATCACATGAATGTTTCTCAAATATGAACAAAAAGAATATAAATATAAATATATATATGTATATTCATTAACTAATATAAATAAACAAAAAATATATATAATATTCCGGCAGGCGAACTCGTCAACGGCGACTTCGAGACACCTCCGGTCGGCGGCTTCCGGGATGTCTCCACCGCCATTCCCGGATGGAAAACCGAGGGCATGGTGGAGCTCGTGGAGTCTGGGCAGAGGCAAGGTGGGATGATCCTAATCGTGCCGGAGGGTGCCCACGCTGCCCGGCTGGGCAACGATGCGGAGATGAGTCAAGGCGTGAAGGTGGAGAAAAAC